TATAAATTTAGGCCAAAATGTATTCTGCTCCATGTTTTTGGTAAAAAAAATCCCAATGAGTGTATATTGATTGCTTTGTGTGAAAGTTATAGCGTTTACAAACTATAGTATAAATAATGCAACTTACGCCATTTTTCTGCTATACAGCGCTGCGCTAGTTTAACGGACAATTGCGCGGTCATGCAATACGGTACATAAATGAAATTTACATCCTTTTTTTCCCCACAAATTGAGCTTTCTTTCGGTAGTATTTGATTGCCTGTGCGGTTTTTATTTTTTGCGCTTTAAAAAAAAAAGGCTGACAATTTTGAGGAAAAAAAAAACAATATTTTGGACTTTTTGCTATAAAACATGTCCAGTAAAAAAAAAAATGCAAAAATCAAATTTAGTCATAAATTTCTGCCAAAATGCATTCTGCGACATGTCTTTGCTAAAAAAAAAAACCCAATACGTGTAAATTAATTGGTTTACGTGAAAGTTATAGCGTTTACAAATGGCAGGAAAGATACTGGGATTTTTAGTTTTTTTTTCATACTAATAATGGCGGCGATCAGTGAATTATGGCGGCGATCAGGGACTTATGGCAGCAACCAGCGACTTATGGCGGGACTGCGGGCGGACATTCTGACATTGGGGGGTACTGACTTGGGGTCACTGACATCCCCAAAAACACTAATACAGTGATCAGTGCAAAAAAAAAAAAAAAACTGACACTGTACTAATGGCAATGGGGAGGAAGGGGTTAACTTTATTTTGCAGGGAAGGGTTATAGGAGTGAGGGGAGTGTTTTACTAGGGGGCGGGGGTATGTACTGGACGGTACAAGGCTGATCGAGAAACTGTTCTTTCTCGATCAGCTCATCCTTGAGCTGACAGGGAAGTGACAGACAGCACAGCTACTGCAGCTGTGCTGTCTGTCACTGTTTGCCGCCGATCACCGGAACATAGCCGCTAACGAGCGGCTGTGACCCGGCGACTGACATCTGCGGCGGTGATCCGCGGGAAAAATAGGGCGGCGGCACGCCTCGCGCGCGCCCCCTATTTGTTTACAAAACACACGTCTTAAAACGTGGTTTTGCCTGTGAGTGTCGCCCTGCCGCCGTATATGTACAGTGGCTGGGCGGCATGCGGTTAAGAGCCTTAACATGAGCATGTTAGTGTTCTTATCTGCCCTTTGTAAGTTTCCATTTTATTTAGGACAGAATGATAAAGAGAGAATGAGAAGTTGCACACTACAGACTTATGTGACGAAGATATAAGCCATATGGATAAGAAATAACATGCTAAATCTGACTACAGTGGAATACATACAGTAAACCTCAAATTAAAGTGTGTGTCAAGCCAAATTTTTTTTGATAGTTTTGGATAGAGACTGGAAGGATTAGAATGCCTGTCAATTTATGTTTGGTTGTGTCATAGCGACTTTTCCCTTACTGTTGTGGTAACAACAGTTTCACGAAATAGTAAGCAACAGGAAATCTGAAACAGACACAGAGCAATAAAAAGCTGCAAAATGGAAGGTAAAGTTTTTGCCCTTTAACCACTTCAAGTCCAGACACTTTCACCCTCTTCCAGTCCAGGCCAATTTTCAGCTTTCAGTGCTATCACACTTTGAATGACATTTGCGCGGTCATGCAACACTGTACCCATATGACATTGTAGCATTTTTTTGAGACAGAGCTTTCTTTTGGTGGTATTTATTCACCACTGGGATTTTTATTTTTTTGCTATATAAATGAAAGACCACAAATTTTGAAAAAAAAGTGTTTTTCTTATAAACGTTTGCAAATAAATAATCTTTCTTCATAGATCTTGGCCAAAATGTATTCATTTATCTTGTTGGTAAAAAAATAAAAAAATAAACAAATTAGTTTATAACCAAAAATTATACGTTTTCAAAATTTATTTTTACATTTTGTATTTTTTTTTTATATTTTTTTTTTTTTTTTTTTTTTTACACATTGTCACCCTAGCAGTACAGTGTCACCATAGTGACACTGTACTACGTGTGGGAGGTGATGTAGATTGTTTTTCTTTTTTTACACTGATTGCTTTTACACCCATAAAGGCTGTAAAAGCAATAATTTTTCCTTCTCTCTGGCTGCATTCCTGCAGCCATTGAGAAATACTGTGCGAGCTGTGATTGGTCACAGCTTGTCACATGGTACAAGGCTGTTGTGAATAGCCTTGTACCATGTGACCTCTGTGATCATTCACAGATTTCACTAGTAGTAAGCAATGATGTCAAGAAGTGACATCTTGCTTACTACTATTCATGTTATCACTGATTGGCTAGTCAGTGATCACATGAATCGAGACCTCACACAAAGGTCCTGTACAGCGATCTGTGCTCCCAGGGAGTGCTCACGGGCAATGGATGCGGGGGGATGTTTAGAAGCATCCACCCGCATCGGCAGCGCTCCCATCCGGCCCACTGCCAATAAAAATGTGGTTTGAAAAAAAAATCACAGTATATCAATGATACATATCAATAGTTGCATACCAATACCATGCTTTCAAAATATATGATATAGGGTATAAAGCAAAAAAGGCTTATCATACTCGAAAACAATGCACTGTAGAAATGTATGCTAACTTCATTTGTATAGCCAAATTAATATTTATACCCAAAAAGGTACTACAAAATACACTATTCAAATACTCTATATCTCTATGATACCCAAACCCCATATCCCCAGATGTACAACCAATGCCTACTCACACTAATCCTGATATTAATCCTGATGTGAGCTTTTTGCAAATTATGGAGTTGATTTACTAAAGGCAAATAGTCTGTGTACTGCAAGTGCAGCTCCTTTATATCCGAGGGGAAGCTCTGAAATGAGGCGAAGCTCTGCTAATTTCTTTTATGCAATCTTGTGCAAGCAAAAATGTTGTTTGTTCCCCTCAGACCTAGAACAAGTCTATTTGCCTTTAAAATAAACCCCATAGTCTTGCTGTTCTTATCCTTCCCATGGGTGGCACAGTGGCTTAGTGGTTAGCACGACTTCCTTGCAGTAAATGGGTGATGGGTTCAATTCCCGACCATGGCACCTACTGCATAGAGTTTACATGTTCTCCGTGTGCTTGCATGGGTTTCCTCTGGGTGCTCTGCTTTCCTCCCACACTCCAAAGACATGCTGGTAGGTTAATTGGATCCTGTCTAAATTGGCCTTAGTATGTGTATGTATGAATGAGAGTTAGGGACCTTAGATTGTACACCCCTTGAGGGTTAGGGATTGATGTGAATGTACAATATATATGTAAAGTGCTGTGTAAATGGATGGCACTATATAAGTACCTGAAATAAATAACTACATTTCCCAATCTACTCAAATAGTTTTGATTTTTGTGCATCTATATCCAGGCCTTGTAGTTAAAAACATAAATTGCAAGCCCTTCATAATAACTTGCCCCCAGGAACAGTGGTGTTGTTTCAAACAAATTTCAAACTCAAATGGGCTGCTAAGCTTAATAAGTCCCTATTTGTGGATACAGTTTACTCCTTCCTAGCAAACTGTATTAATTCAAAATTATCCTCCTCTTTTTAGACAGGGTTCAAATGACCTGGATAGATAGTCAACATCTCCTTCCTCGTGATTTGAGATAATACATTCAATTGAAATGAATGTACTGCCCATAATTTTATAGCTGTTCAGAACCTTTCCTATACTGTTCCCCAGGAGAGACTGGAGGACTTAGGAGTTTCAAATAGTTTTGCTAATTATCAAGTACCTCAGATAGCACAACTGGGCCAGATTACCATCAAGGGCCATTGCCCTTAATGGGTTCATATGGGAGCTCTTTCCTGCTCTGTTATTCATAGATACACCAGTGTGGATCCTTAATAGGCACAAAATGCCGATTAAGACAAAATGTGTCCTAAATTATCCTAATTCCTTGTGGTATAGGGCAGACAGAGTGCTAGTAAAAGCTTAAGTTTTTTTAACAGTTGCGTTTATTGAAATTCTTCATACGTAGAACAAAGCAAGGTACATAAGAACAGGCAAACATATGGCAAGCAGTATCAATACAATACACATGACATTTCCACACCAAAGATCATACTGAGTCAACTGGACATCCAGAGTGATGGCGGGGGTATGGGGAGGAAGGGGAGAGAAAAGGGGGAAGAGGAGGAAAACCTCCTAGGGGGAAAGGCTAAGTTTAGCACACTCCCCTTGCATCGATTACGGCGATCCTAAGTTTCAACCTGGCCCTTATCCACAAATCTTTGTATTGTGGACTAACAAAAGCTTGATTCATAGAATGGAACATAACCCACATCCTGTGGAGACATTTCATTGCTACCAGATAGTCTCTTTTGTAAAGTTCATGTCTAGAGAGGGTTCCAAAGTGAAATCTCTTCTCTGCATACTTTACTTACTACTCAAAAATTATCTTGCATGCTATAGCAGGAACAGGATCTAGAAAAGACTATGGACCTTCAGGAAAGACAGGAAGTCACAGACAACTTTTCATAGGTCTCCATCAATACAGCCTTAATAGAATCTAATTAACCACTAGCCTACAGGACACTTATACCCCCTTCCTGCCCAGGCCAATTTCCAGCTTTCAGCGCTGTCACACTTTGAATGACAATTGCGCGGTCATGCAACACTGTACCCATATGACATTTTTATCATTTTTTTGTGACAGAGCTTTATTTTGGTGGTATTTAGTCACCTCTGGGTTTTTATTTTTTCTTAAAGAAACCAAAAACCACTGAAAATTTAAAAAAAAAAAGTTTTTCCTAATTTTTGTTATAAAATTTTGTAAATAAGTAATTTTTCTCCATCACTGATGTGCGCTAATGAGGCTGCAATGATGGGCACTGATGGACACTGATAGGTGGCACTGATGGGCACTGATGAGGAGGCACTGGTAGATGGCACTGATGGGCATTGACAGGCATCACTGATGGGCACTGAAAGGCAGCACTTATATATGGCACTGATAGGCGTCACTGACTGGCACTGATAGGCGTCACTGACTGGCACTGTTAGGCGGCACTGACGGGCACTGATAGGCAGCACTGATGCACACTGATAGGCAGCACTGACTGGCACTAATAGGCGGCACTGGCTGGCACTGTTTGGCAGCACTGATAGGTGTTACTGACTGGCATTGATAGGTGGCACTGATGGGTGACACTGAAAGGCAGCTCAGATGGGCACTGATATGTGGCATTGATGTGCACTGGTAGGCACTGATAGGTGGCATTGATGTGGCACTGGCAGGTGGCATGCATGAGCACTGAGAGCTGGCACTGATGGACACTGACAGATGGTGCTGCTGAGGCTACACAGATCATCAGGGCACACTGATCATCAGTGCCCTGATGATCAGTGTACATGTCTCTTCTGAGGAATGCCAATTACTGGCTCTCCTCTCGAGCTGTCAGCGTGACAGCTCGTGAGGAGAGAAATGCCGATAACCGGCATTTCCCTATTTCCATGCAATCAGCTGTGATTAGACACAGCTGATCACATGACCGAGCCGACATCTTCGGCTCTTTCCGTTGATCGGTGATCCGTTGTGTCTGAGGAACACAGTGCACCACCGATCGCAGAGCTGCACGCTTAGAATGGGACGACGTCATATGACGTCCTCCCAGAACGAGAGAACCGCCTTGCATCCGTCATTGTAATATATGGCGGGGGCGGGAGACGGTTAAATGACAAAATTGAGGTCTGAATTATGGTTACTGATAAACTGACAAGTCTGCTCCACAACTCACAAGATAAATTTGACAACACACGGGTTGTGTACACAATATTCATTGATGGATTTATGAGGCCCAGGAGGAATGACTCCTCTCCTTTTTTTTTTCCTCTTCCTTTTTTCTCTTATTCTTATGGTCATCTACATTTTTGTTTTTCTTTTCTGCTTCTCTTCCACTTTAAATTCTAAATGAAAAAATGCAGTGAAAATGCACATAGATGAATGTTAAAACATATGACCATGCACAGAGGGAAAAGTACTTTGACACATGACGATGCACCTACCTAGTGTTATCTACCTAATAAATATAGAAGAGTGACAACAGAAAAAAGAGTAAGACTAATAGTCTGCCTCATTGTTTTTAAATTTGTACGTTTGTTTTTTTGTTTTTATTTTTTACTTTTCTTTTGTCTGAGCATAGATCTGTGTTTTGTCCCAAGCATGTGTGAATCCATTTACTACTGACTGACTCTCTACCTCTACTTTCGCTAAAATAATACTTTCTAAAATTAGTTTTGAACTTTCCTCCTTCTAATTTTGAGGTCATGTCCCTGTGTTCTTGAACTTGGCATCATATTGAAAATACTTCCCTCCTGAACTCTATTCACCCCCTTCATGTATTTAAAGATTTCAATAATATCTCCTCTTTCCTAAATCACATTTATGTGCACACACAGATCTAAATAGGCCCTATAAGATATCAGTCTTATGTTGTACAGTAATAGCATGAATAACCCACCTCTGGAAAGGGATGAGTTACATGGGAATAGCCCGACAAACCTCACCAGAGCATACAAATGGCAAAAGACCATGAAACAAATCACCTCCTAACAATCATCTCTATTTGGGTTAAGTCTAGAGATATTGGTAAATCAGTTTATTCACCTCCATTGCTCACAGCAGGCGTATTTGCTAGTTTAATTTGAGATTCAATAGTGGCCTGCAGAGTCATTATTGAATCTTGATGTTGCTGATTCACATCTTCCAACTCAAAATTGCAAGTTTGCATAAGGCTGTAAGAGAGCCTAACTGCAGAGGCAGTCATTGCTGTATATAAAGGGTTCATTCAATAACAGGTAAAGTAAATGCAGTGAATATCAAGGTAAATGAAAAGAAAGACAATATGGCCTAGAGTGGATTTTAAGAATCACTGGTTATAGTAGCGTTCTACATCCTTTCCATAGCAAATCTTGAAACCTTGTAAAAGTGTTATCTAGAAACTCTTAACCTTTTCGCTGACAGAGCCGTTTTTGCCACTTTTTTGCATGTGTTTCAAAAATCATTTTAGGCCTGAAGATTACACAAAACCCCCAAACATATTTTTTCTGGAAGCAGACACCCTAGAGAATAAAATAGCGGTAGTTCCAATTTTTTGTGTCACACAATATTATTGCAAAGGTCTAGGAAATGCAAAATTTCAGTAAGAATCACACTAAAGTGAATTTAGGGCAAGAAAGCAAAATAAATTACCTACATTTTTGGTACAATATAAAAGACGAGGTTGTGCCGAGTAAATAGATACCCAACATGCCAAACCCTAAATTTGTGTACTCCTATTAAAATGTGTCAAACTTCAGTACCCTATATTTTCTATAGATGACATCAGTTTAGTGGTACGGTGGAGGTCTGGTGCTAGAGTTATTGCTTTCACTCCGGCGTACACAGCGATATGTAACGTGTATCACAATCACCGTTTTCACATGTAGGCACCCTCAGGTGTGCATTTACGTTTGTACGTGCGTATATGTGGGGGTGGGAGGCCTCCAAAAAATGTTTTTGGGGTGGGATGTTATGTGCTTGGGTGTAACTTTTTTCGGACCTGAAAGCAAAATGATTAAAGCATAACTCCAACCAAAAACACCACAATAAAAAAAATAGCTTGGTACAAGGTAAAATAAAAAATAGCTTTTGTTGAAATAATTACTTTTAATGCAGTACTTTTCATTAACTGACTAGTTCCTTCTGCTGCTTTCTCCACTCTTACTCCAACTCTGTTTTACAAGGACTGCAATATGCTGATACCAGGGCATATTCAGGTATTTAAACTGCCTCCTTAAAAAAACACATTTAAAATTGTAGTGATAATCACAGAGCTGCATTACTTTGTGTCTTTATGTCTGTCTAGAGTTCAGTTTTAAGTGCCTGACACTTGGAAAAAATAGAGCTGCCAGCAGGCACCTAAAAGTTGCATTCACATACAGTACCTGCAGCAGCTTTAATTGCTCCCTGTGTGCCCGAATGCTGTGACATTCTGAATGGGAAAAGCACTTTTTTTTTTTAATTCTTTTTATTGAAAGGTTTAACATAGTGTACAACATACAAACACTGGAATTAAGCTGCCACTCGCCAACAGCGGCAAGCAACGTAAAAAGCAAAAAAAGAGATAAAAAAACAAAAACAGTAACCATGCCTGCAGAAGTCCAATAAGTACCTGTAGTAGGATGGGCATAAAAAATACAATGTAAGAGCAGCTCGCCATGTTCCACTTTACAGAGTTACATCAAGAGAGCTATTCACACTCTAGTACAAAGCAAAGAGGTAAGCTTAGGCTAGCAATGCAACAAACTAATTCCAGTATACAGTAAGTACCGTTGCAGAGAGACCCCAACAGGAGAAAAACTTGTTGGAATATTACTCAATGGGAAACCGCAAGGGAGGATGCTACCCACCCACTCACCCCAAACCTTGTCAAACGTGAGGAGTGCACTTCTATTAAGGTACATAGCCTTGTAAAAGGGTAATGTCTTATTAACCTGGGATTTCCAAGCCTCCATGGAAGGAGCATGTGTTTTTTTCCATGAGAGAACAATCAGTTTTCTAGCATGGAAGAAGAGTAAGGTAAGCAGTGTGCATATAGCTTTCATGGGGGCTAGATCGTCTACCAAACTTAGTAGGCAATGTCTCACAGAAGGGTGTAACGATATAGTGGTAACATCTTGAATGCACCGAAGAACTTCCGACAAGAACCCATGTATAGCTGGACAATCCCAAAATATATTCATGAAATCAGCCCCATCCGCCAGACAACGCTAACAGGATGAGGAAGCCGATCCAAAGATCTTAGCAATTTTTGCTGGGGTCATGTATACATGGTGTAAGCATTTAAAGTGTATTAGTTGGTCATGAGTGGAGACCAGCCTGGTGAAAGGAGCTTCCCAGTCCTCTCTGTCCAGGTCAGGGACTACTACCTCCCACCTAGACCTACACACCTCCAGGAGTTTACGTATTTCATGAAAAAAAAGACTTATAAATAGTGAACAAGGGCTTAGACAACTCATTGTCCCACTGTAAAGACTCTAGGTCTGAGGGAGATAGGGGAACCCCACAGGGTCTAAATTGTGCCTGATCAGAATGCCGCAATTGAATATATCAGAAAAACTGCTTATTTGGTAGGTGAAACAAGGCCTTTAACTCATCAAACGTTCTTAATTGTCCATTGTGTGTAACATCCCCTAATTTTTTTACCCCATATTTTGTCCATACAATAGGGTCCTGATGTGTTAAAATGAGGTAAGTTATGATTTTTCGATAAGGGCGCATGGGGGAAGGAGTGAAAGCTCCCCTGAATTCAGCCCCATGTGCCACAGACCAAGCCCTTAATACAGATTTCATGGAAACGGTCAAAACATATGGGGACATCGGACCTCTGTGTACCAGATGGGCCAAGGCCTCATAGGAGCTAACCACAGCCGCCTCCAAGGCAACTGTAGCATCATCCTGAGGGCTCGGCAACCATCTATGTACGAAAACTAATTGACCAGCTACAAAATATTTATAAACGTTGGGTACCGCTAAACCACCTTCCTTCCAAAGTTGTTGGATCCCAAGCCGAAACCTGGGAACTTCACCTTTCCAGAGAAACTCAGAAATTAAACCATATATAGATTGGAAAATAGTACAGGGAATTCATGCTGAAGAGTTTCGCAGGATATATAACAGAAGTGGAAGAAGTTTCATTTTGATCAAATTAATCTTGCCAGTCATCGAAAGAGGGAGATTCATCAAGGCACTGATCTTTTACTTGAAATGGGAGAGGATAGGGGAATCATTAAACTGTATAAATTAGACACTGAATTAGTAATGGTTATCCCTAACTATTTTACTTGTGACACCCATTGGAGCAGCGAAACAGGCAGCGGTTGGCTATCTGCGTCCCCTCCCAAAGGGAGAACCTTAGATTTAGGCCATTTTAACAGGAGACCAGAAAAAGAAGCTTTATGATCCAATATGGATAGAGCAGACAACAAGGAGGCCCTGAAGTCTTCCAGGAAGAGCACCACGTCGTCAGCATATGGGCAGTTTTTTTCCTCCAAGATTCCCACCTGCACCACACGCACCGAGGAGGAGCTCCGCAAGGCCAAGGCAATGGGTTCCATCATTAAAGCAAAAAGCCCTGGTGACAGGGGGCAACCTTGTCTGATGCCACAGCCTACTAGTCAGAACACAGAAAGTCTGCCACCAGTTTTTATGGTGGCAACAGGGTGATCATAGAGCAAACAGAGGAACACCTCCCATACATGTCAGGACTGTCCGCATATAACCCCAGTCAACAGAATCAAATGCTTTTTTAAGGTCTTAAAAGACCAATACCTGGTTGTCTGGACCTTCCGGGTGTCATCCAGTTTGTGTAAATACCCTCCTAAGATTAATGTGCATGGCCTTAC